ATTGGTGTGTACTTATGCAAGTGTAGTTAAAGAGAGAAACTACGCTCTTCTGTTTGTTTACCACTAAGCATCTTCTCCAAAATACTTGTGATGAAACACACACACACACACACACACACACACACACACACACACACACACAACCTTGACTCCGGAGCCTAGTCCCAACAGATCCATCTACAGGGGTCAAAGATCATTGCCAGAGAGGGGAAAGAAAGATTGCAACTGTGTCACCCACAATGCCTCACCGGCATGACATCCTAGCATGAGCTGAAGAAGGACAACATCAACAGATATGCTAGCAAGGAAGGCAGGAAGCTGAGGAGGTCTTAACTCTACTCAACCCTACAGCAATGGAGGAACGCTGAGAGCAGGAGAAACAGTCTTCCCCAGGGAAGAACACACCATTTGGTTACCCGATTCCAAGTGGTCAGACCTGGAAACATACACACAAGTAACATTATGCAGACTGAACAGCCTGTATTTAGGAAAAAAATATATATGCATGTAACAACAATTAATGAATAAAAGGCCATGAATTTGAAGGCAAGCATGAAGGTGTTTATGGGAAGGCTTGGAGGGAGGAAAGGGAAGTTGGAAATGATGTAACTATGTTATAATTTCAAAAACTAAAATAAATAATTAAGGAGCTGTACTTCCTAGTACAGTTGGTTCAAATCATTCTTGAAGGTATCGTCATGGGGACAGGATGGAAAAGGACGAAAGCCAAGTAAGGACTTGAAACCCTTCTTCGATGACTCCTTAGATGAGGCTTCTGAATGACCCAAGTGATCATTATCATGCCAGAAAGATCTGTGGCTGAGAGCCCACATCAGAGACCTGTCAGAGGCAGCACTAAGCAGGAGGAGGTGTGTGACTTCCCCCAGATGCTTGTGAGGGTAATGGCGTCTGCAGACAGAAGGGGCAAGGGAGTGCTAAAGCGTAGGTAGGGAGACCAGTAGGCTAATGTATGGAAGTGGAGTATTGAAATCCACTTAAAGAGATCAATCCAGTGATGGAAAGGCCACTCAGTAAAGGGAGGGCCTGTGAGGATTAGTGGCAAGGAATAAGCTTTGGGTGACATATGGGAACAAGTCACTCACTCCTCATTGTCTAGTTCAGGGGAACAGCACGAACTATATGAGCTTTTCTCTCCACTCAGAACGGCAGTGACACCCGTCTCCTGTGGTTAGTGGGAAGCCATGTGTGTTCACCAGGGATTAGTGGGAAACATGTGTGTTCTCCTGTGGTTAGTGGGAGGCCATGTGTGTTCTCTTATGATTAGTGGGAGGCCATCTGTGTTCTCCTGTGATTAGTGGGAAGTCATGTGTGATCTTATTGAGAGGAACCCTATGTTGGCTTTGTGTGCATATACCATGTAGAATTTGGTATCTAGGGAGATGAAGACATGTAATTAATTCTCCCAGATGCACACCCTTTATTGATATCTATATCAGCTATCAATGTAAAAGTCCTTTGCTCTGTGACACCATCTCTGTTACATACAAAGGTGCCTTGAGGCTGTGTTGCTGGGTTTTTTTTTTTTTTTTGCCTGATTTTCTTTGTTGGTCTGCCCCTGCCAGGGCTACAGCATTATGTGATGCTTTTACATCTGCTGTGGTGCATTTTATCCTCATCCTTCCTTATGACTGCCTTGTTTATTTACATTCTTGCCTGAATTTTATAATCAAGATCCACAAGAAGTAGTCAACTGGAAGTGTGAAAACTGTCAGAGAGAGTTTGAGGGTTATTGAAAGCTTTACAGTATTAATGGATGTGGGCTGGAGAGACAGTGCAGTTAGTAATGTTCGTTCTGTGCAAGCAGGAGGGTTTCAGTTTCATTCCCAGAAGCCCTGGTGCTCCCTGGCTAGACATCCCGGCCTACTAAGTGATTTGCAGATCGGTGAGTGACTGTCTCAAAACATGAAGTAGACGGTGCTGGAGAAATAACCCTTGCGGTTGACCTCTTGCCTGCACACTCCTGTGCACACACATCTCACCAGCTCACACACATGCTCCTGCATACACATGAACACACGTACATGTGCTCCCCCCCACAAATACAAGGTGCTAGGTAATATAACAGGAAAAGATAAAGGGCAGATTGTAACAGAAATACCACTACCTGAGGAGAAAGTACAAGATGCATCTGGCCTGTGGGATGACCTAGTTCGTCTGGCCCAGGGTGCCAGAAAAGAGGCATGTTAGAGGCCTGGGATTCCCGACTGTCAGGTGTCAAGCAGAATTCACAGAGAGAAACCCTATGCCAACCTTAGGGCTTACAAGCTCCTGTAAGAGGCACCTAGTGAAAGTTGACTTCCCATCAAGCTTCGTGAAATCAAAATGGAGATTCCATGTGAGTCAGGATGAAGAGACACCTCACACTGGGAAAATTCTGCCTGCAAACGGAGACCGTTCTGAGGTGTGACACTGCGTTACCCGTGGCTGCTTAAGCACACTGGTGTGTTCCCTGCAGGGATAGGAGCTAAGACACTTATGTTCTCCAACAATTTCTCCACATGTGCACTTTGGTTGAGCAAAACATGCTCAGCCAGAGTCACATTATCTTCCAAACGCGGAACCTATTTTTGTCTACTGAAACTGCCAGGGTATACCAGTTGGCTGCTCAGTACGTTTGAACATTCCGTCACCAGTTGCTTTCCCACTGTGATTGTCGAAGCTTGGAACACCGTAGGATGCTGCCATTGTTGCGCATAAGTCCTGCTGGCCGAGTCCCTTCGGGAGCTATTTTAAAGGCCAGCATTGTCTGAGGATATACAAATCAGGGTTTGCAGAATCACAGTGCTGGAGGCAAGTGGCCATCAGGGCTGCCTCCCTGACCAGCTGAGCCTGTCTTGGAGCAAGGAGAAGAGGAGGGAGCGTCCTAAGAGAGGGTACCTGTTCATCATGCTGCTGATCATTCAGGATACAGCAGGGACTAGTTCTCACTGACTGTGATCTGCTGCTCTGCCCATGCTATTATCTTTGCCTTGAGTTATCTTCATAATCTTTAAATTACTTAAGTGGTATTTTTAGATTAGCACACAAAGTAATGGGTTTCGGTGTGGCATCTTCTTACACAAGCGCCAATGAACCTCTCCATCATTTCCATTTCACTGGCTAAGTATTGTGTGCGTGTGTATGTGTGTGTGTGTGTGTGTGTGTGTGTGTGTTCATTCCCAAACTGCAGATGTGAGCTCTGATTGGTTTTACGTGCTTCTTGGCTTAGTGTTACGTCATCTGCATAGATCAGTAGACAGAGGGTGAGAGTAAAAACAGGGGCTTGAAACAAAGCTCCCCTGACTGTTCTACTCCAGATTCCAGGCCTATCTGGGTCCCACGTAAATTGTCCTAGGAGCCCAACAGCAATGGTCTTCGAGGGATGTCTTGAGGGAACACTGTTTGCTGCCTCATGATAATGCTGTGTGTGGCCCTAACGCAGAGACCACTGAATTCCCCCAGGAGACACTGACTTGTTGCTGGTGTCTGAAGGTAGCATGGTTGCGGCTTGTTCACCGAGGCCTAGACTCCATTAACATCTCCAGATACACTGTTGAGGGACCACCCCAACCAGACTTCCACAGATGCCAGGGCGGACGCAACCTAGACTCTAGTCAGAACTTCAGTCATGCCCACTCAACAGGGAGGATAGCCTAAGAGGGTAAAGAGAGAGGAAACACAGCAGCTTGGTAAAAGCAGAAAAGACAAGGAGCTGTAAGTGGGAGGGTAAATACGGCCCCGTGTCCAAGCCACGGCTTCTCTGCAGCTGTGCGGACTGCTGCCCGTCAAGCTTTCTGAGCGTTCTCACTGAGCAGACATTCCGAATGAGAACTAAGACACTCTACAGCGGAGTGGTTGGAGGAAGCAGTCGGGCTAAAAGCCTTGAGAGAACAACTTCTGTGGCTGGGTTTCATTTCTTTTCTCTTCTCTTTTCTCTCTCTGCTCCTCCTCCCATTCTTCTTCTCCTCCCTCCCCCTCCCCTCCCCCCTCCCCTCTTCTCAGTACTGGAGGCTGGGCATAGGGCCTTATAAACCCATCAGGACATCACTGATTTGAACCTTGCCCTCCATTCCTTGAGTGCCCTGGCGGCCTTCTCCATCTGTGGTCAGTCAGTATTTTTTTTAAAGAGGTGCTAAAATGGGGGGGGAGATGGGGGAACGTGTATATTTTAGAACAAATGAATCTAAAAGACAGGGTCAGGAGTGAAAGTCTGAATCCTTATCAGAAAGTACCGAAAAAAGATTTGAAGATTAGAGAGCCATCGATATCCAGTCCCTGAGTGGGATGTTTGTCTAGTCGCTTGGCTGACGGGGAGTGCCAGCTCTCTGACCCATGCGGGTTCAGACCATTTCCCAAGCCTCATTCTGTGTCCCTTCCTTCATGGCATTCAAGTGACTCTGCATGCTTTCACCATAGTCTGCGGCCTTCTAAGCCACAGATCCAGACCCCCCCCCCCCCCCTTAGAGGAGAAGAGTAAGGAGACCAAGAAGGAAACGCAGTGGCTGGAAGACGTGTTACCAGGGAAGTAGTGAGCGTGGGCAACCGGAGTGTCATCCTGCCGGGAGCTCTGCGAGTGTCAGGGCACAAGCACCTTATGGCAATCCATGCTAGCCATCGTGAGGTATTGCTAGCCTGGCCCAGCCCAGAGTTAGTAACTCTTTGCTGGTGTCGCCTGCTTCAGACAGGGAGAAATGGACTGTATGCCTAATGTGTTTAGACTAGGGGTAGATGGGCGGTGGCTACCGTCTTACCTTCTAAGAAGTTCTGCTCAGGCAGGTCCGCCAGATGGTTTTTATAGTTCACCGTGGCACCATAAGCTTGCTTCATACTTCATCTGTCTAGACTTTTTGACTGTAGCTCAGAGCATCAACTTGATAGTGTCTCTGTCTCTGATTCTGTATCTCTCTCTCCCTCTCTGTCTGTCTCTGTCTCTCTCTCGTGTGTGTGTGTGTGTGTGTGTGTGTGTGTGTGTGTGTGTGTGTGTGTCTGTGTCCTTTAGGAAAACGCTGTCAACACACCCTTCTTTTCATTTGAACCGCACTGTCTACAGCATCAGTATCTTTCAGGGGATTTGCATCACAAGCAGGAATTCCCCCAAACTGGACTCCTTCAGGTCATTCTGTCGAGTACCCTGAGCCGTGGGAGCGATGTCAGGTAATACAAACACAGCAGCTATAAATAGCAGGATGCTGTTCCGTTCCATCGTTCATCCCCGAGAGCAACTGTCTGGCAAGTCATAGGATCTGCAGCCATCAGCAGCTTAAGTCAGCGGCGGTGTCTGATTGGCAGAGGTAAGCATTTTCTGGCTGGGTCCCGGGTGAGCGTGGGGGAGGATAAAATGGCTGGGTTTTTGATAGCTGGGTGGTCACTCTTACATCTCCTGTCTGTAGATGCTTGCCCATCCAAATTGCTACAGCGACACCAAAAGCTCTACGAGAGGCAGAATATACAAATGGGTGGACCACACCTACAGAGAATTCTGACCCGTGACCTGAAGCAGCCTGCCTAGGACAGTGAGCTGCTCTCTGCAGCGAGGAGCACGGCTTGTGCATATCACACCGGCACAAGCTAACTGCTAAATCTTGGGACAATCCGACCTGTACCAACTGGTCCAAAATGGTCAAGGGTAGGTTAATAATTGACATCTTCCCTAGGTTTTTTTTTTTTTGATCATTGAATTCCCAGATTTATTTGGTCACAATAGCCCAGAAGTGAATACAATCTAAGTGCAAGGTGGCACACTGTCATTTGCAATAATCTGGATAGAAGAGGAGGCTATCGTATTATGTGAAATATTCAAGGCGCAGGAAGATGAAGCGTCTGGCATAAGACTGGGGACACCTAGGAGAAAATGGGGGGACAAGGGGTACAAGGAACGGACAGCAGACGTTTATTCATTCCCAAAGGGATTTATGTAGGACTGTAGGCGGGAAGTGAGGAACGGAGTGGGGGTGTTGACTGCAGCTGCCAGGAGGCTGGCGGGGCAAAGGTCAGTGGGAGGGGTTAGGCCGTCCTGTGTCGCCTGGTAACCTAACTGCAGGTTTCAGTTCTACCTTTCACAGTCTTATCCTATATTGCTCTCAAGCCTATCGCCCCTAGTGACTTGGTAATTTTCGCCAGGCTTAATCTTTGACTGACGGATGAGCCGAGAGCCTGTTTCTCGGGACTTGCTTCATATCTAAAGAGGTGGTATTTCTTCAAGGTGGCTTGGGGTCACGTCCTCCACGTGACAGGGTGAAGGGGTTTCTAAGGGACCTAACTGCAGGAAGAAGAGTTGTTCAGTGACCCAGCTGCAGACGGCTGTCAGCTGTTCCTGTGAGCCCTAATACTATTTGCCAAGGAGCTGGAAAGGGCAGGGAGGTTGATAACAAAATGGGCTATCCTTGAAAGAGCTGGCAGGTCCTAAGTAGCAATGACCGCTCCCCGCACGTGACCTCACTCATTATGGAATTTAAAGGCTCATCTCAAAGACGTCGAGAGTTGAACGGTACCTACTGGAGGCTGGGGTGGTTATCAGAGTCAGGGAGGAGTGAGGGGAAAGGCTGATCATAGCAATTGCCCCAACTTTTTTTTTGTTCCTGTTTCTAGTCTAAGCTCATCTAGATAAGTGGTTCTCAACCTTCCTAAAGCTGCAGCCCTTTAATACAGTTCCTCGTGTTGAGGTGACCCCCCAACCATAAAATTATTTTCACCGCTACTTCAAAACTGTACTTTTGCTACTGTTATGAATTGTAATGTAAATATCAGAGTTTTCTGATGGTCTTAGGTGACCGCTGTGAAAGGGTTACCACTAATCTAGAGAAAGCCGCGTGAGAGGGTCTGTGGGATCAGAGGCAGAGCCGACTGGGAGAGCAGCCTTGGGAGGGGTAGATAATGGGGGCCAGGACAGGAGGGACCGTCTCTTAGTTTTTTGAGATCAGCGTCTTGCGTAGCTCAAGCTGGCCTTGAACTTGCTATGTAGGTGGCACTGGGCTTGCACTCCCGATCCTCCCACCTCTGCCTCCTGAGTGCGGGGACTGCAGGCAGGAGCTGCCACACCCAAAGAATGTGGTGCTGGGAACGGAGCCTGGTGCTCCCTGAGTGCTGGGCGAGCACTCTATCAGCTTTGCGGCACCCTGTGTCTAATTTCCATATTAATGTTTCATGTCCTTTTCTAGAGACTCCCCTCTTCATGACACGTGCCGGCCACCGTCCTACGCGTCAGGGATATCGCAGAAAAGCAACAACTGTGTCTGTTCCCAGAGCTGACTCTAGAGAGAGACGGGGTGTCCCAAGGTGACTGCTGTTGGCCAAACAGACAGTTAAAGCGGGCAGGGGAGCTGCAGACTATGGTATGGGTATTGTTTTTCATTTATTGATACAAATTCAAGGTCAATTTTGTGATGTGTGTATTTCTCCTCTTGATTAAGTATTGTGCTTATACTGATCTTTTAAAAAGTAATGCATAATTAAATACAGACTATAGATAGTTACTTATAAGAGTCAGATCTTATTGTTAGGTAAGTTAGGTTTTCTAGATATACAGAGATATATTTGAGATAGACAGTCTTCAAACCTTTCAAAGACGTTCAGAAAATGGCATTTAAAATGATTTAGGGTTTTTCTTGACAATGAGAAATGTCTGCTCCTGGCAGCACCAATTATGTCTGAGAGGAAAATGGGCATCGAAGAAACTCGTTATGGAGTTTGCTTTCAACATGGCAAGATTAGCCATTTGGGCAAGAAACTGCTCTTGCCTAGACTGACTGCTGCTGTATAAACTGGACATGCAGGACCCACAGGAAAGTGACTGCTAAACTCAGTCTTACAGGGTTCCTGCTTCATGGAAGAGTTTACCAGACTTTCTACAGGACAGAGAAATGACTGACAGACTGCCAATGCAGATGAACAGTTTGAAATTTCCTGCTTTGCTGAGAAGTGTTCCAGACACATTGTGGCCTATGGGATGAAGTTACAGAGGAACTTCAGGTGACTGCCCAGGCAGCAAGATGTCTCTGTCAATCCTAGTGTTTATATATTATCCTTCTGTGGTCTTTGATGGAGTTGAAGACAGATAGTTATAGTTTTCCTTAGTTATGATAAAAGATAAGCTACATATAGAACTTTGGACTCATAAGGATGGGATGGATGATATTTTCTTTAAATCTTGCTAAAATATTGTAACTATGTTCTTATTTGATAACTGTTCTGTTATATACAATTTGACTATGTTAAAGTTAAGACCTTTCTTTTTGTTTAAACAGAAAAGAGGAGATGTTGGGGAAGTCTTATGTCAATAAAGCACTGTTGGCCAATAGGGAATCTAGATAGGAGGGACTGGGAGTCCAGAAGAACTCTGGGTAGGAGAAACACAAGGGGGCAAGATGTAACCACCATGGGGTAGGGTCCCGAAACTATTCTCCAGTAAGAGACATACTTAGATTAACAATTATGGGGTAATTACTTAAGTCAGAGCTAGCCAGTAAGAAACAAGCAAGGCCAACAGCTTCATAATGAATATAGCCTCCTGTGTGTTTATTTGGGACTGATGGGGCTCTAGAACCAGGCTGGCGGGAAGGCTCCTCTCGAAGAAAAAGCTTCTCTTTACAGCAGACAGACCATAGATGCCATCTTCCAAAGCCAAGGTGGACAAGAGCCGCCGTGAGTGGTTTTCCACTTTCAGAGGATGGATCTGACTCGGGCACTCGAATTCCACCCCCAGGGTCTTCGTTCAGCCTGTACCGTGAGAACACTTGTGTTTCTAAGAGGACGCCTTGGTTTAACATGAGACTCAGTGAGTGTGGGCATCAACAGAAAGTCTTACACAGCAGATCCGACTAAAACAGGATTGTTTTTTTGCCTAGGGCTACGATATTAACAGGAGGGTCTATATTAAAGTGTCATTTAACCCCAGGAACCACTTACTCTCTGCCACCTACGGTGTGGTGTCTTGGGAGCGGATTGTGATGTCATTTGACTGTAATGAGGTGCCAAACTCAGAACCAGTCGAGGTAAAGTGATAGATTGAGTCAGAGGAGGCGGTGGCAGCTGTGTATGTAGATTAGAAAGGGGGCGGCCATGAGCTCTGCCTGATGAATAAATCATTTCAGCGTTAGCCGTGTGGGTAGAGACGAGGCCTCAGGGACACTGAGCTGAGCGAGTTAGCTGTGGCGGAGAAACTCTGCCCGCCCAGGCAGCCTTGGCGGGTGATGTGGGAGCCAGGGAAGGCACCCAACTTCATTCTTTTCCTTTTTTTTCAAGTTGTATGCGGCACTGTTAAAGACACTTTTCGTAAGCCACCGTAGCATTTCGGCTAGGACATGGTAGCCAATCGCTAACCTTAATCAAAGGCTCCAAAACTCCCTTCTCGTATGGCCACCAAGACCAGAGAGCTGTGTAGAGCCCGGTGAAGTCTTCATTTGATGCTTTGAAACAGGGATGTTCAGAGCGAGGGCTGACATCCCACATTAAAGATTTTTCTTTTTTAACAACGTTTCACCAGCCAGCTCTGACTCTCAAGAAATGAAATGAAAATGGCAGAATTATTAACCTGATGATCACAATCTTTCAGAAAAGGAGCCACCACTCTTTTGAGGAATACTCAATGGTGTCACCGTGAGGCCAAGATCATCCAGTAGACCAGCAGGGCCACAGGTCCCAACAGGTGTCTAGTCTTAAGGTAGTTAAGTCTGTTTTTATGGTAGATAGGGAGGAGGACACAAAACATGAATTTATGGTTTTTGCACACCACAAGGCATTTTGAGTCATTGGTGGTCACATATGTCAACACGAGGAAGTTCCTCTTGGTGTCCAGAGTTGTTCAGATTCAGCAGAGAAAGGTGTTTTCTCCCCTTCGATCTAATTTGGAAGACATTTTGTCATTGACATGTACGTGTTCTTTACCCCAAAAGCAATCAAATGTTCTGTGTGCTAATTTTTAAAAATTCGAAACAAAATTCTACATTTTTATAAAACTTGACAAAAGCTAGTATTTCAAACTGTACAGCCCCCCCCCCCAGAAGTACACAGTTTTCAGAAGTACACACACAAACTTGGCATCCCCGGCACCCTTGGCTTTCCGTACCTGGCCTGTTTTGACGTCTCCACTTTCTGAAGGTTCTCACCAAAAGATGTGATCTGTAGACATTCTTCTTTCCAACTTCACAAGACAAAACTGCAGTGTAGCCAAGGGACTGGCGCTGATACAGGCCGTTTTGATTTTCTTTCTTTCTGGTTTCTATTTCTCATATGGGGCCCCACGTGACGTGACGTATAAAAGTGAGTGTAGCCTATCACAAGCTAGCCTGCTCCTTTCTAAAAGCAAGATTTATTTATTCATTTATGTGTGTGTGTGCGCGCGCGCCTTAATGTGATGGAAGCTCTTCTCACAAAGGCCGGAAAAGGGCACCAGATCCTTCTGAGCTGGGGTCGCACCAGCATCTGTCTCGTAGGATCAAACACTGACCCTCGTGTTTTACACAACAGGCGCTTCTAACCGCAGAGCCGTCTCTCCAGCCCTGTTGTATGCCTGTTGCGTACTTACAATAGCAGCCCCCATCTCAACCCTTTCTGGGCCCTGAACTAGAATCCAGATATCCATAAAGACAGCCTGCCTCAGCTGCCGACGGTAGCATTCCTCTGGAAGTCTCCGGAACAGCACCAGGAAAGGAAACACAGCAGGCAAAACTCTGGTTCATCCAGGATGCCCAGAGGTGAGCGGGTGGCTGGGAAGGGAGGGAGTGGTGAAAACCACGGCGTGTGCTTGCCGAACCCCAAGACCAAGGGGATTTTAGGCAAGGCTTGGCCCAGCGTCTCGGGGACGAGCCACAGGCTCTCACCCTTCCTGGACGCTTCATCCCGACCAGGTCCCCTTCATGTGTGTTGGCTTCAGGGAAGCCTAAGAAGCCTGGTGCGGCCGGAGCATGCGCATGACTGGGACCGGAGCGTGCGCATGACTGGGACCAGAGCGTGCGCATGACTTGGAAGGCTCCAGGAAGGTGGGCACAGGCTAGGAGGAGCAGGGCACAGCAAAGCGTGACAGGAGGAGGCTCCGTGACCCTTAGTCAAGGAAGTTGTGCGGTGCGACTCAGAATTTTAAAGGACCCCTGATGGTGGCTGTAGAGTCAGAGAGAGGGGAGGCAGGCGGGGATGCGAGCTATGGCTCCCCCAGAGTCTCATCTGGGCAGAGACTTAGGTGTGTGGCGGGAAAAAAGAGAACCCCTGGCCATTGGTTGAATGCAGAAGTCAGCATGTTGTTCCTGGTGTTATTGTTACCAGAAACCCCAGAGATAAATACTCACTTTTTTAAATTGTTAAATTGCTTGGGTTTGGGAGTGTGGAAACTCTTAACTTGCTGGAGGAAAAAGGGGGTGGCTAAGAGACAGAGACAGAGAGGGAGAGACAGACAGAGACAGAGACAGAGAGAGAGAAAGAGAGAGAATCTCTGTGAGAACCAAGGGGAACTCTTTCTTAAATGCTTTTATTGACATATATTAATTATACACAATAAGGGGGGCTCATTGGGTCATTGCCTAGGTGGGCATAACGTATTTGTTGTCCTTTCCTGTGTCCCTGGCTTGCTAGGCAGGAAGCATATTCGGTCGATGCAATAAGAAGAGGCGCTCAACTTCCTGTTAGTCAGGTGAACGGTCATCCGATGACGGGATTTCAGTTTCTGCCCTTCAGATCAGCCAGCATCTAGACAAGTCACAGCATGCTGTGTTGGTAGGGGTGGGAAATGGACGCACCATTCAGTGCCAATGGAGGTTAAATGTCTTACGGTCTTTTTGGGAAGGTAATCTAGCTAATGTACTTATTAAATGTTATGTATTTGTACCCTTTGACCCAACCATTCCATCTGGGGAACATAATCCACACAGAAATCAAACCACAATACACAAAGCTACTATAAGGATGGAATTCCAATATTATTGGTGATGTAAGAAAAAAAGAAGATTATCTGAAGAAAATCAAACAGTTGGGTGGATCCCTTCCTACTGTCTACAGCTATGTGACTTTTTAAAAAAAGGGTGCATTGCTTCTGCGTCCGTGGCTTGGGAAACACTGGGTGGGAAGATCGTAAGAGCCAGAACACCAGGAAGTCGGCTGTGGAACAGTCTCTTTTAGAAACAACTGCATAAACGATATTGGAGCAATGCCAATACCAATAGACATGCTAATGTGTAAGGGAAATTTTGTGGGGCTCCCACCCCTGGACAAAAACTGTAAGTAAGAAATGATTGGTGGGAGAAGAAGTATTGGCTTCTCCCAGGGAGGAGCCCCTTATTGGTTACCCAGTACAAAGTGGTCAGATATATATATATGTATATTCACCAAAAATGGACTGACTCATCAGGTTGCATTTATATATTCACACACACACACACACACTGCAGATCTACATAAAGAATTTGGTAAGATACAT